CTATTATGTTTCGTTTATGCTCTATTTGGGATTTAATATTAGATTCGCATTTATTTTATAAGTTTTAAATATTTTAAAATTTAGTGGTGTTACAGATAAGCCTAAGCATGTTTGCAGACTATTAAGGTCTTTATATGGTTTGAAACAAGCTAGTAGGCAGTGGAATGCCAAACTGGCAAGGGCTTTGCAAGATAATAGATTCCAGCAGTTCTCAGCAGATGCATCCTTGTTTACCAAAGTATCAGGTCAATCATTCATGGCCCTACTTATATATGTTGATGATATTCTAGATGCAGATAATGATTCTAAACAGATTGCTGAATTGAAACAAACTTTGGATAAGACCTTTAAGATAAAAGATCTTGGTCATCTAAATTTCTTCCTTGGAATGGAAGCTTTCAGAACTTCTGATGGGCTTAATTTATGCCAGAGAAGTATGCTTTGGACATTGTAAAATAGAATTGCTTCCTAGATGCCAAGCCTGTACAGACACCAATCACAGCAGGACAAAAACTCAACAATTTGGAGGGGTCCCTTCTGGACAATCCTAAAGAATACAGAACGTTGGTTGGTAAACTCCTTTACCTAACCAATACCAGACCAGATATCTCCTATGCTATACAACAACTAAGCCAATTTGTGGACAAACCTAGAAGCAGATACCTTATGGCTGCTCATAGGTCCTCAGGTTCATCAAGGGATCTCCTAGAAAAGGAATATTTTTCCCAGCTCACAATCAAGTCAGATTGCAAGGCTCATCTGATTCTGATTGGGCCTCTTGTGCAGAAACTAGGAAGTCAATTACTGGTTACTGCATCTATCTTGAGCAATCTTTAATATCATGGAAGTCAAAGAAGCAGGTGACTATATCAAGGTCATCATCAGAGGCAGAATACAGGGTACTTGCATCCACAACTTGTGAAATACAATGGCTTCTATATCTGCTAGAAGATCTTGGAGTAAAACCTAACCATCCAACTGCCTTGTTTTATGATAATCTATCAGCTATTGCTATAGGGGAAATCCATGTCTTCCATGAACGCACCAAACATATTGAAATAGATTGTAACATAGTAAAGCAAAAGGTATATGACAAGGTAATCAAGTTGATGTCCATACCTTCACAAAAACAGGTTGCAGATGGTTTCACCAAAGTGTTTGCCTAAGTTGAGTTTTGATAATTTTCACTCTAAGCTGGGCCTTCAAGACATTCATGCTCCAGCTTACCCGGGGGGGGGGGGGGGGGGGGTGTGACAAAGTATGCTGACAAGATGAAGACTATAACCTAAGGGCTTTCTTGTAAATCTGCTATTACTTCCTGTTATAACTACCAAACTACCCAAGCTGTAAATATATAAATGTAGACTTCTGAACTAAATGCAATTATCACTTTCATTTCTTTCATTCTGCTTGCAATCCTCTCTTCATGTCTTTGCTCCTTGCTCCCCATTCCAGCTGCATAGCAGGCATTCTCTAAGATTTCATCATAGGGGAAAAACTACCACTACCAAATACCAATAGGTGCTTGTAAGATAAAGAGTTCATAGTACAACTAAGATCCAGTCATATACACAGTAAGATAAATCTAAAGTTTCCTACACCAAAATCTCATTGCACGATTAATCCATCTGTGTTACCACCAGTAACCTAATTGCACATGACACACTACCAATAAAAAAAATGACATGTACTGAAGATTAAGACAATGCCAATGCTACCCAAAAGATAATTAGTAATAATTAAAAAAAATTTAAACCAAAAGTAGTATTTATTTAGACTATCGCTTTTAGACTAAGTATTTAGAATAGCGTTATTACAAAGTTGCAAACATTTATTTTAGTGATGACAATTATAATCAATCTCTCATATATTATCTTGCATTTATATACTTTAAATTACCGATTTAAATAAACAAATTCAACATTTATTTACCTATGCATGAACATCTCCTATATAATATTGCATTGATATACATTGAAATACTTATTTAAAAATAATCATTGGGCATGCATTATCCCATTTGCGCAAAGCGCATAAAAAAAACTAGTACATTGTATACATGTCAATGACCTTGTGGTCTAGTGGCATGAAATGACTTTTTCAAATGGGAGGTCGTGAGTTTGAGCTCCAATGGGGACGGTATTGACATTTTGTGTTTCAGTAGATTGAGGAAGTAGTTATGAACAGATACTACATTGTAACAAAGTCAACTCTAGAATGTTAAGTCTTTACTCTGCCAAATTGTACAAATATTGCCCCGATTACTTAACAGTTATATACTTATAGAGAAAATTTCAATTTTGGTCCTATGACTATAGGGGTCTTGTTAATTTCAGTTCCTAACTTTTAAAAGTGTCAATTTAGTACCTTGACTATGCATTTTTTATCAATTTTGGTCACTCCGGCCAGATTACCGGTCAAATTTCGCCGGAAAATATTAATGATAAAAAAATTGAGGGTATTTTAGTCTTTTGCATGTATTATCTTTTTTTACCCATTATTTTGCCGTTGAAGGTCTCCAAATCTGGGCTGCAATTGAAGCCTGGGTGGAAGAATATTGCCACTTGTATTACCACTCAGATTACATGGTCCAATGTGACTATGAGCTCCAGTCATGGTGGACGGAGATTCGACAAGTAGGACATGGCGACTTGAAAGATGAAGCATGGTGGCCGCAAATGCAGACACGACTCCAACTCATCCAAACCTGCACCATCATCATATGGGTAGCTTCTGCTTTTCATGCTGCAGTTAACTTCGGCCAATATCCCTACGCAGGCTACCTCCCTAATCGCCCTACCGTGAGCCGCCGGTTCATGCCGGAGCAAGGCACATCGGAGCACGCCGAGCTCCACTCGAACCCGGACCTTGCCTTCCTCAAAACCATCACACCCCAGTTGCAGACCCTTCTGGGCGTCTCTCTTATAGAGATACTATCCCGGCATTCCAGTGACGAAATCTACCTCGGGCAAAGAGACACCCCCTACTGGACTTCCGACGCGGAACCGCGAGAAGCGTTTCAGAGATTCCACGACAAGTTGGTTCAGATTGAAGGCCGGATATTGGAAAGAAATGGGGAGAAAAAAAAAAACAATACAGGTAAAAAGACAAAAACACCCTCAATTTTGTAACCCTTAATATTTTCCGGCGAAATTTCACCGGCAATTTGGTCGAGGTGACCAAAATTGAAAAAAATTGCATAGTCAAGGTACTAAATTGACACATTTGAAAGTCATGGACTAAAATTAACAAGACTCCTATAGTCATAGGACCAAAATTGAAATTTCCTCTATACTTATATTAATAATCTTTCATGATTACATTATTTTTAAAAAATTATACACAACATTATATTCTTCATTTATTTACATACTAAAACTAGTAGATCAAATAAACCAAACTTGAGTTTTGGTCTCAGAAGTGCTTGAGTTAAGCAGAGTAAATTATCACTATCAATAAACAAGTCCGACTCAAAGCATACAAGTGTTCTAGCTAAGACCACCTCTTCAACATAATAACAATTGTTATACCGTGCACCACGACGCATATAGCAATGTGCGTCATGACACAAAACAGTACCGTTTCGAGCACTTATTGTTAACGGGGGTTGATGGGATGGACGCCGCTTCGTCCGTCCAATCCCCGTTACATTTTTTTAAAAATTAAATATATATCGACGCCTTTCTTCTTCCAAAAGTCACTCCATTTTGTGCATTTCAAGAGCAAAAAACGCAGCAACATTCTCCGCGAAAAGAGCAAAAGCACAATCGCAAAGCAGAAAACAAGCATAAACATTCATCAAGTCTTCTTTCAAAGCAATACACCAACACACAAAGGTGAATCTTCAAACATTTTTTTGTTTGAAGATCGAGATATTGTGAAATTTGAAAATTAACACATAACTTCAGTATATATGTCATGGAATCTATTCACATTTGCATCAAAACTCAACATTAATAAGCATTTTCAGTTAAATTAGGGTTACATAACATTACGAACATGAAATCTGCACATAGATGATATTACTAGATTATGTATATAATCTTAGGAGTTTATGTGTATTCTTCTATACAGTTTATGTGTATGGACTCTATATATGTCATAAAATTTGTCCACATTTGCATAAACAATTAGTATACATAACAGATGTTCCTTATACTTTAGATTATATATATTCTGAATATAGATTATGTGTATTCTATTATAACATTCTATACATTATCAATTCCAATTCAGGGCCTGAGTGTGGTTAATCTAGGGTTACATATTACTTAGACTTATGTTTATGTGTATTATGTTGATAGTTTATGTGTATTCTGCTATAAGATTATGCACATTAATACTTTCAGTTGCTATACCTCAGCATACATAACAAATGTTCCTTATACTTAAGATTATGTATATTCTGAATAGAGATTATGTGTATTCTATTATAACATTCTGTACATTATGCCTTTACAACTCTGTACATTATCAATTCCAATTCAGTGCCTGAGTGGGGTTAATCCAGGGTTACATATTACTTAGACTTAAGTTTATGTGTATTCTGATTATAGTTTATGTTTATTATGTTATAAGATTCTGTACATTAATATTTTAGATTCCATACTCAGCAAACATAACAGATGTTCCTTATATTTAAGATTTTATGTATTCTGAGTATAGTTTGTGTATTCTACTATGCAATTTTGTACATTATGCTTTTACAACTCTGTACATTATCAAATCCAATTCTGTATCTCAGTGGTCTAATTGACTATACCTATTGTTATTGCAGCAATGACAAGCCTAAGCAATAGTGATCATACAATATTAGAAATGCTTAGAAGACTAAACGAGCTAGAAATATTGCATCTACTTCAGCACCTGTGCATGAAGAGTCGGAGCCTGCAAATGTTGAAATCAGGACGAAAAACAAAAATGATGGCAGGCAGCGCGCTGCCAAAAGATAAAAAACAAGTCACACTTCACGCCCTGCTCAGCCTAAAAAAGCCAAAAAGATGACAAGAAGAAGACAACCCCAAAAGGATAACTTACCCTACCACAAGAAGTACTTGTTTGTAAGAACCACACTAAAGAAACTCTATTCTCTTGTCAGTAGTTTAACCCCAGAACAACACCAAGCTGTTAGAGACATTGGCTTTGGATTACTTTTAGGCATAATCCTCACATCCTATGATGGCAACCTGCTTAGATACCTTCTAGAGAGGATGGATATTGGTAGATGCTCAATCCATCTACAAGAAGATGAGCTGTTCTTAGACAAGGATGATGTGCAGTCAACTCTTGGTGTTCCTAGAGGACATGTTCCTATTGTAGAGGGTGTTTCTGCCAATGAAACTGATGCATTCACCAAATTGGTTGCTGACTGGAGGGAGCGATGGGGGATAGAGAAGGGCACACCATCGACCTCCCAGATGCTGAATGGGATTGTTGAAGGGCGATCACGGGGATTTGTTCAAACGAGATTTTGTAATCTTTGTTGTTTCCACCCTGATCAAAGGTTACAAGAACCAGTTTTGTAACTACAGGATCATCTACTCCCTACAGGATGTGAGTAAGATCAAGGATCTGAACTGGTGTGCTTACACAATCAGATCTCTCCTTAACACTGCTATGGAATGGAAGTGGAAACAAGATGCCGCATACACTGGACCTGCCACATTCTTAATTGTATGAAATTATGTGTATTTTACTATATAGTTCTATACATTATGAAGTTTAATCACATAACTCACTAGAGATAAAAATATATTTCTTATACTTATTGTTGGTTTTCACAGCCTCAATGGCCGCTCGACAGGCCAACACTACCGAAAGATGTGCTTGCGAGATGATGAAAACAAGAGATAAAGTATTTAGAGAGAGAGAGAGAGAGGGAATAATATGGTATTAGTTCTCTAGGGTTTTTCCCTTAAAAGTGTCGATCCGATACATGGTGATCCCGGGGGGATATTTATACATGAGTATGGGGCTCGTATATGGTAAGTAGGGTTGAGGTAAGGTCAAGCATAGAGACAGGGTAGGGCTGACGTAAGGCTGATGTAACCGGCTACTTATTACCATAAGTCGTCTAGACTAATTAGGGAAACTACTTAAATGAGCAGAGATGCTTCCGTAGAATCTGTTGATATCCGTTTCTGGGTACGCACCCGGTCAGGAATGCCCTGGCCGCCATGGGAGTATCTTCTGGGGCCATCGTATCTATGCGAGAACGCTCCAACTACGAAGCCTGGTCGCCCGATCGGGTTCGGGACAGCGCGCGGTCGGGGACGCACCGCCCGCATAGCCTGGTTGTCCGTTTGAGTCCAACGGGGTATTCAGCCGGAGACACACCGACTACTGAGGCTGGTCGCCCAACAGAGTCTCGTCCAAGAGCCCGCCCGGGGACACACCGACTGTTGAGGTTGGTTGTTAAAGGATGAACAACCTTTGAAATTTTGTTCCATATATCATTCTCCATGAATGATATGCCTTAGAGTTATGATTATGTATATTTTGTATAGAGTTTATGTGTATTCTACTATACATTAATTATAATGATAAATGGTTTTCTTGTGTCTACTCAACATTATTGTTGAATCTGAAGATGAGGTTGAAGATGTCCAAGTTCGAAAAAGACCACAACAAAAGTTCAAAAAACTCCCTTTGAACTTACGATCCCCATACTGGACAAGCAACATCTCTAAGCTTACAAATGTTTCAACCAAGGAAAAGACAATCTCTGACTATGCATTCATGTCAGCAAGTGATGAATACCCTCCATTGTATGTATATCTTCTAAGTTCACATACTTCATTAATACATAGAAAAATGATATTTCTTATAATTGAGTTTATGTGTATTCTATTATAACATTATGTACATTATTAATTTCAAATCACATCCATCAGACAAAAATTAAATAATAGTTAGACCTATGTTTATCGTTATCTTATTTTTGTTTTTTTTTTTTGTTTTTGTTTTTGTTTTTGTTTTTGTTTTTGTTTTTTTTATTTTGTAATTTGTTTTTGTTTTTGTTTTTTTGCAGTGAAATGTTGTTTTCTGGCAACGATTTGTTTTCCACATGAGAGGACTTTGCCACATTGGCAGCCGATCATTTAATTACCGGCATTCTACAAATCTGGGCACACAGAATGAATACAATTGATATAAGAAGAACAGTAGATCAACTAAAGAGAATCTTTTTCTGAGAGGCTGCTTATGTACGTAGACATCTTAACCTAATCTTTTTTTTTTTCGAAACAACGCATTATATAACAAACAACTATTTCTTTACAGATGCTTCTTGAAGAAGTCCAATTGAAAACTAAAAATATGAATGTTAAGGACTTCTGTGCTAACCTAGACTACTAACTGAGTGTCATTCTTGTTGACATAACTGATGCCAGTCTTGTAATTTAAAAAATATATGCACCCTAAGTGTGTAAATTCTTTACATTATTCTGTATGTAAAACAATCCGTTATATTCATTTTTATTAATCATTACAAGTCTTCTTTACTATCTTACGCCTTGATCATTACTACTTGATGTGCTTCAACCTCCTCAATTCAAAACTGCAAGTCATTAACAACAAATTGTTGCCTAGAGGGATATCAAATGAAAACAAGTATGAGGACTGTCCAAACAAATTGGTAAGATACGCTTTTACTAATATTTCATATCTACATCCTAAAATTTAATATCTATAATTCTCGAATTAATTAAACACTGCTATAACTATATTCTACAGTTTGCTGCATTCTATAAGTACCTCCGGACCAAAAAGAATCCCCTTGCTAGGAAGGTGAAAAAATTCAAATTGAGTATGTGCATATGCCATGGCAAAACGAATACAACAAAGAAGACCCTGACATATATTGCATGCGGCACATGGAAACCTACAAGGGGACAACAATAGAGAAATGGAATCCTGGGTTCACATGTGATGTGGAGGATGTAAGTACACACAAATAATCAATTTTGTTCAATATTACATATTGTCATATTTTACCTCTCATTTCTTATTACTTTTCCATTTATCTTGTTTGTAGGTTGCATTCATTGCATCGCTGCGAGCCAAATACGCAGCAAATATAATCATGTGGTCAAAGAATGAGTACATGAAAACAGTTAGACAAGCAACAAAGGACAACTACAAGAAGACAAAATGAAATCTTATTGTGATTTGTGACAATTTGGATGACAATTGAACAAACTCTGTGTAAACTACTTTTGATATACACATAAACTATTAACAAAATACACATAGACTCCAAACATAATACACACAAACATAATTCCAAAGTTATCATTTATGTGTACTGATGAATGGAATCTAAAGTAAAAATGTACATAAATGTATACCGTAATATACATAAACTATACACAGAATACACAAAAACTATTAAAATAATGCACATAATCATAGAAAGTCTGAGTAATAACTTTTAAATTCAACTTTCATAATGTACGGAAGTCATATAAGGAATACACATAAACTATTAACAAAATACACATAAACTCGCAACATAATACACATAAACATATGCTTAATGATATTATTTCTCTGTGATGATGACTGTAATCTAAATTAAAAATGTACATAATTATATAGTGTAATACACATAAACTATGCACAAAATACACATAAATTATGCACAGAATACACATAAACGAAGTCCAATGATACCATCTCTGTATACTGATGAATGGAATCTTAAGTAAAAATGTACATAATTGTATACCGCAATACACATAAACTCTTAAAACAATATACATAATCATTAAATTCTGAGTAATATATTTTATTTCTGTTGAGTTATTCAATTGAACTTCATAATGTACGGATTCATACAAAGAATTCACATAAACCCTTAACAAAATACACATAACTCTGAATATTATCACTAAGACATGCTTTAATTATCCTCTGTATTTGTCATTGGCCTAACACGGCAAAAATTAGAACCTCCAGAACTTAGATGCACAAGAAAACCATATCCAGCAATATTAGAAATATCATCTTCAACTTGAGACTGAACAACTGATTTTATTTTGGAAGCAACCATATGTGCAAGATGCTTTCGTCTCCTTGCTTTGTTATATTTCTTTGAAATAACACTACTCAACCTTCTATTTCGCAACCCTTTCAACCGCCTGCTTGATGGATCCTTTATAACACCACTTGAGGATCCTATGTCACAATCTTCAAATAAAATAGCACCACAATCAGCTTCAACTCTTCTCTTGGCATCTACAACTTCTTGTTCACAGATTTTCCGTCGTTCGTTGTTTTCTTGACAAGAAACATCCAACCTTTGAAATTTCCTAGTGATTTCTAAGAACTATGAGATTTGGGCATGATATCAAAATTGTCATCTTCAACAACTTTTTTAGTCCATCTCTTCAAAATATATTTCTCAGGAATTGTAGACACACAGTGCACATTTAAAATGCGTAAACAATGACAACATAGAATCCCCATTTCAGTGAACAACTTGAAACTACAATCAATATCCAGTTGTCTAGTGTTAAAGTTCACTTCATGCCTAATAATATTAACATCAGGCCTCCAAACATGATACTTAAACACACCGTCTTCCAATATCACACACTCTTGATAGCATGATACACCTTTCATAAACTGTTCTTCAAACAAGTAATATATCTCAATTGTATAAATTTTCCTAGCATGTGAGAGAATCTTAACATTATTCATAGTCATTGTATGTACACCTTGCGAACGTCAAATATCTTCCCCATTCTCTCTATTTCTCCACTTCGATATAACACCAACAAATGAGCTATAAAAATCACACAGTCCAGCAGTCTATGATAACCTTCTAGAAATATAATGATTTGTAGTTACACTCCTTTGTGAAGATAAAATCCCACCCGAAAAATAATTTTTATTAAATGCAGGGCACCATTTTTCTCTACATTTATAAAGCTTTTCAATCCAAGAATTATTATGACATTTGTATGTTGTAACCATCCTGAAATAACATAGCATATATATTAAAGTAAACCTATTAACATGCTATGATACACATACAGAAACTACTAATGTACATAATGTTATACTTGAATACACAAACTATCAACATAATACACATAAACATGAGTCTGTATTCTGAAATATGGAATATAGAATAATATGATATCATACACATACAGAAACTAATAATGTACATAATGTTATAAAAGAATACACATAAACTCCTAACATAATACACATAAACTAATCACTCTTAAGGATATCATTTATGTATTCTGAAATATGGAATCTAAAATAAATATGTTATGATACACATACATAAACTAATAATGTACATAATGTTATAAAAGAAAACGCATAAACACTCAACATAATACACATAAAAATTAATGAAGCATAGATCAATAGTCATACCTTGTCCAATAAAATTCAAACTCTGCCTCTTTATCGGTATATATCGGCAAGCAATTGAATATATCTAAAAAATCTTTTTGATTTCTTAGTCCTTTAATATGCTTCTTT